GAATAAACTCTGCTTCTCTTTAAGGTGCAGCTCGATCAAGGCATCACGTACACAAAGATTCCCTACTCAGAAAACACCATTCAGAAAAAAAAGACAACATTAAATGTGATGACAGCTCATTTTTCAGCAGAGAAAGAAAGACTAAAATCATAGATTGTGATACGGAAATGTGCATGTTACTTTGAAAGTCTTGGATCCTCTCAGGAAGTTCTTCTGGCTCCTCCTCCTCCTCTTCAGGACAGCTGAAACAAAACCAGAATACTGATGTTAGAAATAATCCCGGAAACATCTAGATATATTACTCGTATATATTCGATTTTTTTTTAGATAAATGTTAACATATCCAGTTTAACGTCCAATGACAAATATAAGTAAGCCATACAAAGGCTGACATTCACTGCAAATTGCAACTCATCTGTCATTTTCTTCACTGCACGAGTTTGTGATTGCAATAGTCTGACACATTTTTAGCCTTTTGAATGACCAGCTCACAATCACCCTTAAGAAGGTACTATTTGTTAATAATTTACTTTTTTCAATGTAATATATACTACAGTTCAAACGTCTGAGGTCAGTAAGATTTTTTTTTTTTTTAAAGAAATTAATACTTTTAGTCATCAAGGACACATTAACTTAAAAATTGACAGTAAAGACATGTATAATGTTAGATTGAGATGCATAAGCAAATTAACGTCTTATGTTTGTGATTTAGTTACCCCTTACATGCCATCTCGTCCTCTACGCTCTGCTGATTCTCTTTTCCTTCATCAGCCCTACTGTAGATTAAAAACTATGGGACAGAGAGCTTTCTCTTATGCCGCCCCAAGGTTATGGAATGTTCGAAGCACTCCCACACTAAGCACTTTTAAGAAACTGTTGAAAACCCACCTTTTTAAAATTGCTTACCATGATTAAGTGTCGGTTGCTGATTAGGGTATTGATTTGTTTTATATTGTATTACATACTGTATTATTGTATTTTACTCTGTTGTAGCTTTGGGTGTGAGAAAAGCGCATTATAAATAAAATGTATTATTA